GGACACGCCCATCGACGAAAACGCACAGATAGCACAACTTTACATCGTCAATGCCTTTAGAAGGCACATCAGAAATGTGATGTCGATCCGACTAAAGCCCTAGGAGGAGTTCGTTAAAGTACGGAGTGAGTAAATCATCCAAAAATGGCGGTAAAATTAGAAATGGCTGACTTCCTGTTGAGTTTAGGGCATCGCTCCAAGAGACTTTTCTGTGCGTCTGGACATGGTAGATGTACCACAGAAATTTCGTACATGTCGGTCAAACATGCGACGGGGGCTGCTTCGTTAAATGTCACTTCTTCTTGCCACTAGGTGGCGCTATGAATATGGGTGAATGTCGGCATGTAGATTTGATCAGGGCGGGACTCTTGTCAAATGTGTAAAATTTCGTGCAGATCTGGGCATTTACAGCCAAGTTACTACAACTTCCTGTTTCATGGCGAATCTTCAACGCCACGGACACGCCCATCGACGAAAACGCGCAGATAGCACAACTTTACATCGTCAATGCCTTTAGAAGGTACAACAGAAATTTGAAGTTGATCCGACTAAATCCCTAGGAGGAGTTCGTTAAAGTACGGAGTGTGTAAATCGTCCCAAATCGGTCGCCGAATTCAAAATGGCGGACTTCCTGTCGAGTTTAGGGTATGGGTTCTTGAGGCTTTTTTGTGCGTCTGGTCATGGTAGATGTACCACAGAAATTTCGTACATGTCGGTCAAACAAGCGGCGGGGGCTGCTTCGTTAAAGGTCACTTCCTGTTGCCAGCAGGTGGCGCTATGACTGTGGGTGAATGTCGGCATGTAGATTTGTTCAGGGCGGGACTCTTGTCAAATGTGTAAAATTTCGTGCAGATCTGGGCATTTACAGCCAAGTTACTACAACTTCCTGTTTCATGGCGAATCTTCGACGCCACGGACACGGACATCGAAGATAACGCGCAGATAGCACAACTTTACATCGTCAATGCCTTTAGAAGGCACAGCAGAAATTTTAAGTCGATCTGACTAAATCCCTAGGAGGAGTTCGTTAAAGTACGGAGTCTGTAAATCGTCCAAAAATGGCCGCAAAATTCAAAATGGCGGACCTCCTGTCGAGTTTAGGGTATGGGTTCTTGAGGCTTTTTTGTGCGTCTTGACATGATACACGTCCCCACCAAATTTCGTGCATGTAGGTTGAACGTGGACGAGGGGCTAATTTTTTCCAATTTTCTAGGTGGCGCTAGCGTGCCATTTTGCCCCGCCCATCTGCGAAACCCACAAAATACGAAATTTTTCACCAGTCCTGACATGCGTGCCAAATTTGGTGAGTTTTTGAGCATGTTGCGGCCCCGAAAATGGCACTTACTTTGCAGAAAAAAGAAAAAAAAAAAAATAACCCTAACAGTTTCAATAGGGTCCTCGCACTGTTAGTGCTCGGGCCCTAATAATAAAAAATACAAGCAGATTTAAAAAAAACACTTAGGCCGTGTGTCCAAAGAGTTTTTCCACGCACCTGGCGTATGTTTTCAATTGTTTTCAATGGGAGCGCCGCGTTTTTAATATTATTTAAGTACTTTTGTATACTTTTTATTGATGACTGTATGTTTTGTTTTTAGTTTGTGTGTGTTATAATTGTTGGAGCTTGTGTTGCAATGTGTGTTGTATTTTTTTAAAACGGTTTGAATGATTGATTCATAAAGACTACTTATTTCATTACTGGATAAATCGGCGCTCTAGCAGTTAATAAACAGAACTGCATGCGTCTTGCGGAAGAACATAGTTGCCGGAGCTACTTCTCTCTGTTTGTCGATGACGAGTCACGCAGGCATTCCCAGACAGCAAACTGACATTGAATCAACGTGGAAACGACGTCTCTCGTGACATTGAAACAACGTTGATTTGCTCATCGAATTAACGTTGAACCAAAGTCAGACGCGGCATTCTTCAAAGCTAAATGAAAATCGAAAATTGGTTTGCTTTCATAACGTTGAAACAACGTTGATTTCAGGTTGATTTTCCGTTAGTTTTGAAAGAATGACGCGTCTGACGGTGGTTCAACGTTAATTCGATGAGCAAAACAATGTCAGATCAACGTTGTTTCGATGTCATATTTCCACGTTGATTCAATGTCAGTTTGCTATCTGGGTTGGGCTACTCCGCAGTCTCCGGCCAGTCTAAACAAGAAGTCAGAGTATTAACGCTTATTACAGGCTTTACGTAGTGATTCAAGATAAGACAAAAACACGGTTTGAAAAAAAAAAAAAAACATTATGATGCACTCGCTCATTGTATATATTTTGTAAATTCTGAACACAAAAAAAGATACGGACTGCATCAGTTTTGACCACTACAGGCAATGTTTACTCAAACTATAATCTCACTTATTCTGTAACAGTAATCATTTGAATATGTGAAACACATAAATATTGATACTGTGTGATTATACTGTGTGATACTGCTCTCTCTCTCTCAGCGCAAACTGATTTGAATGTAGGCTAGAGAGTGACTCGGCGGTCGGTGCGCGCGTGTGTCTGTGTGTGACAAATCCAGCGGGTGTGAGAGCAAATCGCAACTTCAGTGGTGAAGTTTTTTGTCATTTAGGAATAAGACGGCGTTATAGTTAGGTGATTGAATCGAAATCTTTTAAAGATAATCATGCAGCTCTACTCTCTCTCTCACTCTGCGTCTTGAGGTAAAACGCTAAAGGATAATCTACTCCCAGCACTTCGCCCACATGATGATATCGCATCGGCATCAGAACCGTTTTCGGAACCGAAACTTAGGAATTTTGCACGGTTCCAGTATTTTTTCAAAAACACAACCGGTTCTGGAAAAGAACCGGTTCTCGGTTCCCAACCCTAGCTAAATTTCAAAGTGCTTAAAGTATATATTACAGCAATACATGTTTAAAAGTACTATTTTACATTTTACATTTATGGAACTATTGCATTACATGTAAATACAACAACAATAGTAGGACAACATCGGGACAACAAACTGTTTTGTCAGTACAGAAAGTAACTGTAGTGTGTTTTGTCTGAAAAAACTTACTACATTTGCACACAAAAAACACAATTAATTACCTTCCACTTGAACACCACAACACAGCATCATTGAATACAAGACAGAAATGAATAAGAAATATAAATTCAACAGCAACATGCTGCCTTAAACACATGTAACAGTTTTTCGCAATATTTTTAAATAACTGTTTATTAAGTTGTTTGGTCTTGTGTGGTTATTTTATTTGCATTGTGTGGTCTATGTGTGCTGTGTTGTAATGCTCACAAGAACACTTAAAGGTACAATATGCAGGATTTTTCACCACCAGGGGTCGCTAACCTCTTACAATAACAAAGGTATATTGATGACGTATATTCCACATTAAGCTGAATTATGGATCTTGTCGTCAAGCTGATGGATCTTTTATGGTTGAGTGAATGCATTGATGTTTTTAAAATGACTGCCCAGATAGGAAACTGACAATGAATCAACATGGAAACATGACATTGAAACAACGTTGATCTGACATTGTTTTGCTCATCGAATTAACGTTGAACCAACGTCAGACGCGTCATTCTTTCAAAACTAACGGAAAATCAACCTGAAATCAACGTTGTTTCAACGTTATGAAAGCAAACCAATTTTCGATTTTCATTTAGCTTTGAAGAATGCCGCGTCTGACGTTGGTTCAACGTTAATTCGATGAGCAAAATCAACGCTGTTTCAATGTCATGAGAGACGTCGTTTCCACGTTGATTCAATGTCAGTTTGCTGTCTGGGTGTGGTGTGAAGCACATTTCATTACATTTTCAAAAAGGTAAAAGCAGAAACTTCCTAAAGTTTTGTCAGTCATTTTTTCTTATGTTTATTAAGGCTTCTATTGACTTCTACTGAATTTACAAACACACCTCGAATAATTACGCATTGCTGAATTACATTTAGGACATTAAAGGAATCAAGAGATTTGCAACACTATATCCAATGCTCCACTGGAGAAGTTTGGAGAGCGATATGTGCTTCTGCTGAGGCCTTATCAATCGCCTGAGCAAGTATCTTCTTCCATATGCTGGATTGTGGACCGGGATAATGCAAGGTTTGTCTACCGGGGACATTTCTGGTCCCCTTGAGCAAAAAACCTTATAAATCACTCTGTGGTGTTTTTTTTGAAATTGTAAAAATGCAGAAAACTGTTTCATTATGTTTACGGAAAGTCCCAACAAAACGTCACATCAGCTAATACATCGTCCCATTTCATGCAAGTGTGTGTGGGTCCAGTAGAAGTAAATGGGGATAAAGAGAGTCTGATTATTCAGATGATACCAGTTTTATCATTCTATCATTACAAATCAAAAAAATACCCAGAAGTAAAGTTGAAACGTTTGGGGCAAAATTGACATGAAAAGATTTTTGTTTTTGTTTACATTACATTGAATGATCAGTAAAACAATAGCAGTATAGCATGTTTGCAACATTAGCAATAACATACTCATTAGATGATGTAATATTGCATGCACACTAGGAGTGTTTTGTACATAGAAGGCCTTGTTGATGGCTGCTTCCGAAGTGTCAGTAAATCACTTTGCTCAATCTCAGCCGAAGCACTCCCACTGCTCTTATCCAGTGCTTCTACATCTACATCCCAGGACAAATACACCAAACTCTGCGGACAGATTTCTCTGATGTGTAAAAACGACACAGCACATCTGTCAATCTACTCCATTTATGTCCCTGTCTAAACTTCCCCTACCGTCCAGCAGACATTGGCACAGCCTTTCTGTCTCTCTCTGCTGATGCAGTGATGTGGTATTTGGAGAATTCTGGTCTGACCAAACTAAAGACTCTTGGCTGGGATCCTGTCCTCACCCAGGCCTCTTCCCAAATAAGGCTTTGCTTTAACAAAGGGACGAACTATAAACCGTACGTGCTGTGTGGAGAGGAGGGTGGGCTTGAGAAAAACACTATGTCCTTTTAAGGTGTCAATTTCCTTTTCTCTGCCCCCTCGCTGAATGCCTTGTTTTTTTATTTCTCTAATGGTAACGACATTTACTCCTGAAACAGCAACAGGAACGACTCTCACACTAAATCCATTGCTCCAGGTTGACTGGTGACGGCACGAAGGACAGGGTCTTCTTCATATTGACTAGAGTAAGTATGTTTTCCTTATGCTATCAAAGACCTTTCAGTCAGTTATTTTGCTGATCATTGTGCCTTGTGAACGACTTAAAGTAAACCAATACATCCCATGTGCAATCTACGTACTACAGTTAAAAAGGATAAAAACCTGATAAACTAGCTTATAACTTCCAGTGTTTCAGTATTATTTGGACTCATGAGCTTCTTTGATATGACCCTATAAAGTGTGAATTTACCTGAATTGTAAAGTTTGTAACGATTATCAACCACATCAGTCTGTTGATATACATGCCCTATGATCTTTTATCCAGACCATTACTAGGCCACTCAGACTGGGGGAGAAAAGAAGGCATACAATTAAGCTTACCTTCATTATAAGTATTACAGTGCAATCCAATCCCAAACGTAAATGGACACTTTAAAAAGTGTTAATGTCATTGCTTTAGAAGATATTGAAGTAAGTGATAGAACTACACTTTTCTGACCCATTTTTTATTTAATTGTTATCTAGAAAGTCATTTGGTTACTCTTTATTTCAATGTCCCACTTTAGACATTCTACTAACTATAACTTTGCAACTACATGTCAACTAACTCTCGTTAGAGTATCTGTTAGGTACGTTTCTTAAAGTGAGTATAATGTATGTTGAAGGAGCATCACAATAAAGTGTTAGCTGATATTGGCTTCTAATGCAAATAAAGTTAGTTGACAAATAGTTGCAAAGTTACTTATAGTGAGTCATAAAAACCATTAAGAAAGTGCACATTTTTACTGTAATGCTCATAGGGTGAATGTCTTGAAACTCATTATTTAAGGTTGGAACTTCAGAGGTGGTGTCCTAAACCGCAGAATGGCAGCACAGGTGACTGCTGCTCTGTGTGTGTGTGTGTGTGCTTTGCTGAGAAATGTCCGAATGTAATTGATGGTGTTTCTAAACAAACGCTCTGGAGGAACATGTTCATCTAATCCTGTCATAAACATTACGGCTGTTTATCTGACTCTTCCAAGAGCCCCATTCACTCAAGGACTACGTGAACATGTGAACCTGTGTCTTTATGGATGCTTGTTATATAACAGTTTAGCTCAAGAAATCCATTCGACACGACATAAAAATTGAGCTGAACTGTTTGTCGATGGAAACGTGTTGTACGCTGCACAACATCTACAGGCTACGCATGATTTGAAAGTTCGTTTTATGGCTTTGTGGCTGCTTTTGACTGCATCATTGTCTTTTTCCACTTTATGCTCCTGATGTTTTAGCTGGAATTCATTTTAAAATTGAAATGTAATAAATGTTTAATTCAGGAGAAGAGGATTTTCTAGGGAAGGTAAATGACACAAACTTTACAAACTTGTTCCTGTTTTATATTTTTTTGTCCATAAAACAAACTACGAAGCTATTGAATAAACAAACTATCGAACATGATGCAAAAATCAATACAAAATTATAATAAAAGTGACATGGAATAGCACAATGCTGCTTGATTTGGTAGTTACTCTAGAACATTCGTCAGGTCCCACACTATTGACAGTCTCCTCTTCTCATCTAAGCAGGGAGCTTCAACTATGGCAAACAAGGGTCCATCTTATGGGATGAGCCGCCAAGTGCAGGATAAGATTGAGCAGAAGTATGACACTGAACTGGAGGCGCGTTTGGTGGAGTGGATCATGGCCCAGTGTGGGCCTGCGGTGGGAAAGCCAGAGGCCGGGAAACTGGGCTTCCAGACCTGGCTCAAAGATGGATGTGTAAGTAAGCCGTGCCTGCCATTCTCAGGTCATTGTGGCAATCGTGAAAGCAAAAGTTTGTACACATTTTTAAGAAAGGGCTTTTAAAAAAAAAGTCTATTCGTCTCCATCATATTTTTCGGTCAAGGCCTGGACCAATGTGAATAAATCTATATTAAAATCGTTCATGTCAGGAAACCCTTATATGGACAAATGGATTCAGCTGTAGTGGAATAAACTGGAAACACATTTTCACTGATAAAGCGTGAAGACTATAAACACACGATTGCAACAATACAGTATATGGTTTAGGTGTGTTTTCAAGCCATCTCAAGGATTTTCAAATTAATAAAAGATATGAATAATGCAGTGCTAAATAGCCTATTTTCTGCGATAAAAAATAGTTTGACATTAAACCCATAACTATATGATGACTGAATGCAAAGTGTTTGTAGTACATAAAACAATCATAAACTTGTCATCAGGAAAATATGGGAAAATATTGGTGAATACAAATTATTGGTTTTGTTCAGCAGTGTACTTGATTTCTTAGCCAAAATTGAAAATAAAATCTAATTTCTAATAACGAAAACCAATGTCCCTCACATGTGCAGATTGATATTTAAACGTTTTATATTTTTCTTCTTCACAGTAACGTTTAGATATTTAAATGGAATAAAACGCCAATAACAAATTGAACTAGTTAGGTTAGCTGATTACCTGAAAAATCCATAGATAACACATAGATAACGGCCGTTAACACTTTCTCTGACAAGCGGATGCGATGTGACCCCTTTTCCGGTTTGGTCACGTGACGCTCGACATAAAGCCTATTTGCAGGCATAAGGGAGATGCTATCAATATCATAGGGCTGACTTCTAATAGTCGAGTCGAGGATTCGACGATTCGACTCGGAGAGGTCGTAGTGTAATGTCATTTATAATTATGATCACATTTATGGAAAACTTAGAGTTTTATGTAGAGTGTAATCTTGCTTCTTTTGCCCGTTCTCAGGTTTTGTGTGAGCTCATCAATAGTCTGTGTAAGGAAAAGCCCGTAAAGAAGATCCAGAGCTCCAGTATGGCTTTCAAACAGATGGAGCAGGTGTCACAGTTCCTTAACGCTGCGGAGCGATACGGCGTCGTCAAAACCGACATGTTTCAGACGGTAGATCTGTGGGAGGGTGAGTATGCCAACAGTCTCCAGCAAATAAATATTCTTCATAGACATTCAGTTCCCATATCACGATTAAATAATATGGTTGAATGATTATTAATGTATCACATACCATGCAGTAAACATGTCTGATTAATGAATAGGATATTAAAGGTACAATATGCAGGATTTTTGCAGTAAAATACCCAAAAACCACTAGGCCAATGTTATATATTTTGTTTAGTTGATTACTTACAAAATGCCAAATGTTTCCAACTATTTGTAAATCGTGAGAAAACTGTGATTTTAACCAAGGAAACGGGGCGTGTGAGCAGGGGTGAGGAGTCGCCAGCCCTATATCCACGTTAGCCTCGGTTTCCGTCAGGTTTGACCTCGTACTGCCATAGTCACCATGGCGACAGACGTGGACAACCGGTTATTGCTGTTATGCTTTGTGGTGTTGTTGTTTTGTTCAAATATTATGGACCACGGCAAGCAGACTTTGAGACAAAAAGAGGACTAAAACGAACATCTTTGGAGATGCCGAGAGCTCCACTTCCGCAACTAACCTCGACTCAGAGACGCGAGTGTTGCATGTACTTTATTAGACTGGTGAGCAAATGTACATAAAACTAACGTTATTTAGTTTGACATGATGAAATGTTAGAATATGTTCTGTATGTTATTCTAATGTTGATCTAGATCACTGCTAGTCTCACACAGCCAACACACACCCTACCTAACATCCAACACACACAAATGGCATTTAGTGTGATAGTGTAACTGTTAGATCAAGTGAACAGCACTGTGTTACCTCAAGCTTCATTCATCTGATAATCTGACCTGTGTGAGTATTAATCCAGCACTTGCGTGTAGTTCGGTAGAATGAAATGTCCTTATTCTTTTATATCCGCGGGACTCGCATTGTGTGTGGCGCTGGTATACATCTAGCAATCGTGCAATGCTTCACACCACAGTCATGTTAAAACATCACTGTATTCACTCATCCATTAAAGATCCATCAGCTTGACGACAAGATCCATAATTCAGCTTAATGTGAAATATACGTCATTACTGTAATATACACCTGTGTTATTGTAAGAGGTTAGCGACCCCTGGTTGCTAAATATCCTGCATATTGTACCTTTCAATGCAGTCATATTATTTGACTGTGCAATAATACACAATCAATTTCAAAATAAAATATGAAATTGAATGTAAAAATTAGTGATCGACCGATATTGGTTTTTTATTACCGATACCGATTATTTGCATGTTTGTGTGCCCAATAACCGATATGCAGAACCGATTTGTATTTACTGTTATACTTCTTATACTTCTGACACAACACAAATGAACTTAACAAACCATTTTATTTATAA